TGTGTTTGTGCGTGCGAGTGTGAGTTATGGTGTGTAAGTCTGTGTGTGTGTTGGGGGGGGGAGGGGTGAAAAGACCTTTACAGAAAGTACGGACTAAATTAGACGCACATCAAACTGTACCGTTACTTGTACCCGTCTTCCATGTACCTGTACCTATATCTTTACCTGTCTCCGTACCTCTGTCTGTTAGTCAGAAAAAAAGCTTAAAAGAAAATTGGTCTCTCTAAAGCACACAGGGGCTAGTCCGCAAAATGCTGTTTTGAGAAAATGGAAGGTAAAGTTTTTGCCCCTTGTTCAGTTTCTTTAAAAGACAAGGAGAGTTTCTTTTTAACCAAACAAATATACACACCAACGAAACCAAACTTCTTTTGTAGGTAGGGCAATACCAACTTTTGGTTTAGGTCAAGATTTCTGGAAACCTCTGAAATCTGGGTTAGCCCGCTTATCCCTTAAAGCGACCAAATGCTTTTGTTAGATCAAACTCTCTTCCTGCGGCCTGTCGTGTCGTTCAGTTACTGCCTTACTGCTTTACTATTAGGTATTGATGTTAGCATCAGCATTGGACCACAAAATCCAAAGAAATGCACTTTATCCTACATTAAAGTTTCGATTCGAGAGGCTGACCTAGTTTCGATTGTTTGTTTACATTCGTAGACCTGTGTGCTTCTAGGCTAGAATCTAGATCTAGATTGATAATTCAGGAGTTGAGACACAGAGGGATTTCCTTAGAAAGGCGTAGATTCTAGATATAGACAGTAATAATTTACACCAGATCTAGATCTAGATTAAAAGAACTCATCTCAGAAGCTATCTAGACCTAGGTGTGCGGATGTGATCACACGCAGCGAGTGTGCTTCACGCTCGCTCAGACACGCAGACGCACAGTGCGGCTGTGCTGACACGCAGACATCACGCGCAAGGCGAGCTACAGGTCAGACCTACAGAGCCACTCTGGGACCGGCCTGAGAGTACAGACTTACACCAAGAGCCTGTAGCAAGAGCCTGTAGTGTGATGGTTAGCCTCTTAGCCCTTACACACACACACACACACACACACATACACACACACACACACACACACACACACACACAAACACACACACACACACACACACACAAAGGACATCAGATCGAATCAATGGTGGGAAGGTTATTATACGTATTTGGAATCTCCAATCAAGTCTGTCTGCTGGAATGTTGTATCCTACTCAGCCCGAACTGGCCCTGACAGTTGACGAAGCGTCCGGCCTCTTAGAGTTAAAGTTAAAGTATCGGAACTGCGGAGTGAGAGTGAGACATTCACAAATTTAGCATTGATGAGAATAAAAACGACCTCGTTGGATGGGGTTTAAAAGGTCCTTATAATACACCATGCTACATCAATCACAGACGATACACACTTAGCACACGACCGAAACCTGCATCTCCCCTCGACATCGTAAAGTTACCACAGGAAGGATAAGTGAAAAGTAAAGTAAGACAATCAACAAACAGTACATGTACCTGTTTGACCAAAAACCGGGAACTCCGATCTCGGATATATCGCTCTTTGACGTACGCTGGCAAAGTTATGACGGGCTTGTTCTAACGTAGTAAAGTTATGTCAGGCTTTTTATAGCCACCCGTGAAGCAGACGAATACGTACCGACGCAGTTTCCGACATCAAACCACACTCACTCACTCCCCTCGGCCCACCCCCGCTGTGTCACGTAAACGTCAAGCCATACGGTCATGTGACAATCGTCGTAACCCAGGAGCAGTAAAGCAGAACTGTGAGTGTCTGAAAAGTAGAACAAATTGTGGGCGTCTTAACATTAAACGGGGGCTTTCGTGGCCTAGAGGTTAAGGTGTTGTACTCTCATTCAAAGGTCCCGGTTCGAATCCGGGTAGCGACCGAAACATTTTCTTCTCTAAAATTGTCTCCTTTGACCTCCTTCCCTGCTCTCTTGTAATGCTCTCTTGTCTACTTTCGTCTCCACTTTCTGCCCCCACCACCTCACCTCCTTTGCCCCCTCCTCTAGGCTCCTGACTCTTTCTGCAACCTTTCTACTGTCACTCCTTGGCTCCTTCTTACAGTTGTCTTTCAGTCACACCCCTGATCTTCTGGTAAGAAAGATCTATACCTGGCCTTCTCGGAAAAGGGCGAACAATCTCGGAAGGCTCGTGTGCAAGTTGCGCACGTTAAAGGTCCCATGATAGTCTAAAATCGATAAGAGTAGGCTTCGGCCGCCACCCGGGCAAAATTTTAAATTACCTACTAACTGAAAAAGTGTAATGTGTCCCGCGCGCTCATATGACATTATGCAATTGCGAGAGCTGAAAAACATTTACCAAAAAATAGTGAGTGTCAGAAACAAAGGTGGAATAAACTGTGAGTGTCAGAAACAAAGGTGGAATAAACTGTGGGTGTCAGAAACAAAGGTAGAATAAACTGTGGGTGTCAGAAACAAAGGTAGAATAAACTGTGAGTGTCAGAAACAAAGGTAGAATAAACTGTGAGTGTCAGAAACAAAGGTAGAATAAACTGTGGGTGTCAGAAACAAAGGTGGAATAAACTGTGAGTGTCAGAAACAAAGGTAGAATAAACTGTGGGTGTCTTAACTCTTTGCCAGCCAGACAGTGTCAGAGAGATTTCCAGGACTCTGTGAGAACAGTGTATAGTGTATTATGAAAATAACGGGTTGAAGGTGGTATTGGGAGAGAATTTTAAATGAAGCATACGTGCATATAACGTATCAAATCTTTTCAAAACCATGAAAAAATAACAAATCCAAAACATGGTGTCTTATTTTAATTTAAGCGTGATATCTGTCACATTTTAAGTGTACACATTTTAAAGCTCAATTTTAAAAAAAAGCTCTTCCACCAATTACTTTCAAATGTACACACTTCCTACGTGATGTACTTGGCGCTGGTGAGTTTTCAGATTTTCGAACGCGCGAGTGGTTTTGTTATGGCATACGTGTTACATGTTTTGTGGGTTTTTTAGAATGACTCATGAAAAGGCAGTTAAAAAAGAAGTACACATCAAAGCTTTGTCATTTTTGTACCTATTTACCAGTGGTAAAAACTTGTGTTGTCTACGTTTCATGATGCCACGCCTAGGAGAAACTGTGCGAAAACAGCTTGCTGGAAGGATCCACAGGGGTGCCTCGGTATCCACTGTTGCGAGACATTTTAATGGAACAAGAAGAACTGTGTACGAAACCTTGGATCATGAGAGAACCACAGGATTACAAAAGGATCGACTCCGTCGATTTGGGAGAAGAAAAACTACTCCTATGGAGGATCTTTTTCTACGCCTGTCGCATCTGCAGAATCGTTTCAACGCAGTAAGAAAAAACAGAAGATTTGAACAACATGCGACTTGTCAACCCAATGTCATAAGTGACTGCATTGAGATGGTTGAAATAATTTGGACTCCGAGCAAGGCGCCCAGCTCGCCGCATAAGACTGACGCACTACAACATCAGAAACAGGCTTGCTTGTTGGGCAACAATACATTCACTTTGGTCTCCCCAGGCATGGAATAACCACATGTTCTCCGGCGAATCCAGGTTTCTTTTGGAGCGTCAAGATGGAAGAAAACGCCTATTCTGGAGAGCAAATGAGAGGTTCGTTCCTGAAAGCCTAAGTCAGGCTAGAGCCTTTGGTGTTGGAAATGTGATGGTGTGTGTGGGGTGGGGGTGGGGGGGTGGGGAGGGATTAACAGTAGCTGGCAAGACCCCACTTGTGACTATTCGTGGCAATTTGACAGCACACCGATACATTGACGAGATTCTTCAGCAACACGTTGGTGCAGCCATTCAAATCCATGGACAAACCTGTATGCTGGACAAGTTGACAACATGGCTGGGAACAGCAATAACGACAGACACCGTCGCTGCAACGCAAGAGTGAAGTGGAGGTCCATGATCGCCCACGCCAGTCGGCAAGG